GCTGATTTAGCGGCACAACTTGAAGAGCAAAAGAAAGCTTTCGAAGCAGAGAGATCGGCCAAAGCCAAGGGTGATTCAGAGTTGGCGGCCTTGAAGGCCGAACTCGATGCATTGAAGAAGGAATTAGAAAAGTTAAGAGCAGAAAACGGTAAATACAGAAACGAGCTGGACGATTTAGAAAGACAACTAGCAGCTTTGAAGAATGAACTGCAAGCGTGCAAAGATGAGCTTGCTGCGTTGAGAGACGCGAATAACGCATTACGGGCCGAGTTGGAAAATCTAAAGAACTTGAAGAACGAATTCGACAAGTTGAAGGCTGAGTTTGACGCTCTAAAAGCGGAAAATGAGAAACTTTTACAAGATAAAAAGAAGTTGGAAGATGATAACGGCAAATTGAGGGGCGAAGGCGACGGTCAAAGGGCGGAGATCGACAAACTGAAGGGGGACCTGGCCGCGGAGAAAGCAGCTGCCGAGAAATTGAGAGCAGATCTAAAAAATTGTCAGGATGAGAACGATAGACTGCAAGCGCAATTAAACGAGATGAAGAAAGACTTGGATAACTTGAAGAGTGAGAATGAACGCATGAAGAATGAGCTTGCCGAATTGAGGAAGGCGCTTGCTGCGGCCGAGGCCAAGCTGAAATCTTTGGAAGATGAATTTGCGAAACTGCGAGCCGAGAAAGAGGAGTTGCTGAACGAACTCAAACGTCTCCGCGACGAGTTGAATAATTTGAAGAACGAATTGGAGAAAGAAAGAGCGGCGAAAGACGCGGCCCTGAAGGAATTGGCTGACTTGAAGGCAGAATTAGGCAATTTGAGAGCGGCGTTAGACAAGGCCAACGCCGAGAACGAAGCGCTGATGAATGAGAACAAGAAGTTGAAAGCGGATCTGGCGGACTTGAATAAACAAGTCGAAGCGCTGAAGAAAGAAAACGCGGACTTGAAGAAAGAAAACGAACGCTTGAAGAAAGAGAATGCAGACCTCGCGGCAGATCTGGCTGACACGAAGGATAAACTGGCAGACGCAGAGAAGAGACTGAAGGACTTGGAGAATCAGAACGATTATTTGAAGAGTCGTATCGCCGATCTTGAGGATGCCATGAAAGAGCTCGATGCTTTAAGAAAACAACTGGAAGATGCTAACAAAGAATTGGCCAGATTGAGACCAGAGCTTGACAAGCTGAGGGCGGAGAACGCGAGGCTGCAAAAGGAGGCGAATAAATTGAAGAATGATTTGGATAAATTGAAAAATGATTTGGATAAATTGAAGAGAGATTACAATAATGTGTTGTCCGAATTGACTAAACTGAAGGAGGAGAAAGAGAAACAGAAGGAACGCGATGCGGCGTTGTTGAAAGAATTGGAGAATCTGAGGAAAGAGAACGAGGAGTTGAAAGATAGGAACGCCAAGCTGAAGAGTCAGTTATACGATTGCCAGGCGGAACTTGAAAGGTTGCGCAAGGAATTGGAAGCCTTGGAGAGCGAATACGCCAAGCTGAAAGGTTTGATAACTATCCTAGTAGCGTTTCAATTGTTTGATCGTTCGTTATGCAAGTTACAGGGAAAAGTGTCTTTTAGCGAAGTCACTTTGCAAATTTAAGCGCAGTGGCTAATTGATAGTACTTTAACGCTTATCTTCTCCGCTATTCGGTGTAATAACATAGTAACAGTAATGATTTACTCCTTTTGCGTTAGTTGAATATAATATGCAAAGAATAAATATATATTGCAAGATGTATCTGTATAAAGCAGGATACATGTTTACGACTGTTCCTGTTCCTAATTTTATTATTTCTTTAATGCTTTGATTATCTTGAAAAAAAAATTGCTAAAGGCTTATATGGATAGAAAGAATTGAAAGATATTAAATACATTAAGATGTTCTTATTTAAAATCCA